AAACAAATAATTTAAAACAATCAAAATGTAAAAAAGAATAATTAAATAAAAATCCATTTACAGTAAATCTTTGCTTCTCACCTCTTTAGCTGGTAACCCATTAAAATACACCCTTGTCTTCTTCCCATTATCACCAGCTTTATGTGTTTGTTGGTATGAACTGTTCATATCAAGACATACATAAAGCCCCAGTGAAGTCATTTTAATCATGTTAAAAAAGAATTAGCATGTCATGTTTTAAAGAAAAAATAACAAACATATCTCAAAACAAACAGATTTCAGTGGAGAACAATATCATTTAGTTATCGTCTGTGATCCGCTGTATATCCTGATTTGCTGGCTAGACTTGTGGATTGTACAGAACATTGTAATCACATGGTGAACCGTTAATGAACTCGCACGTTACGCTTTTCCAGTCAAACCGACCACTCAAAGCGCTTTACACAACATGACATTCACCCACTCGCGCACACATTCACACACCGATGCAAACTGATAGACACGGGGTTCCCAGCCTTGCCGAAGGACTCTTCAACATGTGGCCTAGGAAAGCTTGAAATAAAAACTACCAACCCTCTGATCAGTGGGCAACTGCTGTTTTCCTCCTGACCGTGACACAATGCACTTCATACAAACTTTGATCTCTAGAATTTGTCTTGCATATTTTCTGGCCAAGAAAGGTGCGCTCCTCAATATCAAAGTTTGCCGGATCAGGTTTTAAGGTGTTCTGTGTGATGCAGGTAATTATTTTTTAACTGAAAAGCACCGAAAACCAAAAACGTAATTGAAAAAAAGTCAATTTCCACCTTCATTGAAGCTAAAGCTACTCTCCATCTCCATTGTCAGACTCAAAACAACCATGCCCACTGAAAAAATCTTGAACACATGGACTATAGATGGTGTAATTTCTTTAGTAGCCTTAACTCTTCAAAATGGCCGATGGTTGTTTTTTCTAGGTTAGGGTTAGGGTTAGGGTTAGGGTGACAACTGTGTGAGCGTGGCTTGATCGTATCTGAACAACGATGACCTCTTAAAACCATCAAAAGACCTAGTCTTAATTCAGATTTGTTACTACTTTCACATTTATGCCCTTTTAGAGTCCCAAAACTGTTGGGTAATCCAGATTTGGCCTCATGTTTTGGAAAGCATCCCCTTCTCACACACAACTAGAACACATGTCTGATGAGCAAAACAGTATATTATTATCATCTATATTCTATAATCATTATTACTAATCATTATTACTTTGTATTGGAATTAAAGTCAATGCATTTTTTCTACAGATAGTGCATTAAAATGATAAATGAATTAGTGAAAGACCTGATAGTTGACATGAAAATGGCAAACTTGAGCTCACATTTGTTGGAGTTGCTGGTCGAGAAAAATTGAAGCTGCAAACCAAAAGTACCAACATGGCCAAACTGGGCAGAGGAACATAGCTCGAGTCTATCTGCATCCTCTTGTCTCCCCCCCCCCTCCTCTGAACGTGCGAGATCTTGCGCTAAACGTCAGAAAAGGTTAAACCAGCCACACTTACACACACGCACACACACACACAATGAAGCCCCTCCACTTAATTACAGCAGAACAAGAGGAGACGGGGAGCATGTTGAGAATGAGCTTAATTAATGTAGCAGTAAAAAGTGGCCCTCCCTCTGCATGTCCATTCTGCTGCTCGGTATTAGTTCCACCCCAGTGCCCTCAAAGGCAGGAACAAATAGTGACTCTAATGATGGACATACAACCTCCCCCCCTCGCGCAACCTCTTGACTCGTCTCGGGTCACTGCCCTCCTACCGGCTCCTTTCTCCCACGTTGCTCCCCGAGGGAGTAGAGGCTGGGGAGAAGGGGGTGGGGGTGTGTGGTTGGGGGGGTGGACTAGTTTGACAACCATGTTCACCCCATCAGTTCTGAAAGAGCCAAAGACAACCTTGCATACTGACTTCATTAGCGCTGACAAGTTTGGGGGTGGGGGGGTGGGGTGGAGATGCGGCTCAATTTGGAAGACTTCAGAAACAAGAGGAACGAAGCCTCGTGGGGACGGGGAAGGGAGTCAGACACAACCCGGGATCGCTGATGCTCCGTAGTGATTACCGCGGTGCGTTTTCTGACACCGAACCTTACAGGCCACCGTGTTCTACAGCAGAGGAAATATCTGCTTCCTGTTGGAAATGTAGACCTTATAGCCAAAGAAAAAAGGTTTTCAGTACTCTAAAATCTAATTGGCTGTATTTGAGTTTGCCTTTGAAGATTTGATAATCAGTTAGTTTCCCTGCACTCATTTTCAACTTCTCTCCCTCTTTTGTGTGCGACGAATGATATTGAAATGAAAGTCCTACCGTATCCAGTCTGGTACTTCCCAACCCTATTTTGGAGAGCTCCTGGGATATTTCTTAGAGAAGATCAACAGGAGACTCGCAAGCGCCGTCAATCCAAATACAGCCAAATGTGGAACACTACTTCGTTTTAGAGTCTAAATTGACATATTTCCGAGCAACACAATGAATTGATACCCTGGAGACTATAGCGGGACACATGGTGTTTAAATTCTAGTCTAAACAAAACAAAAGGAATATCACATGAAATTAAGGTGTGAAAAGGTGCCATGAATGTTTAATATCTCCCAGCTCCTGACATAAAGGATATAAATATTGTATGTAAAGGAAAAAAAACCCTGTTTGAAGTCTTGAGAGCAAAGACAGTGGGAGAAAAAAAGGAGGGGAAGCAGGTAATTACAAGCCGAGGTGCACTTTGACAGATTATTATATTAAAGCGGGAGGAGGATCAACCAAACACGGCTAACCTCTAACGGTGCTGGTCTCCTCCTAGCAGTGACAGGAGTGTTACAACCTGAGGAGCCACTTCCACTTGACAAACAACTCGGTGAGCACCAAAAACTGGAAAGAAAAAAAAAGAAAAGAAAAAGATAAACAAACCTGACAGCCACCAGGCACCAAACGCAGCCAGGCCCAACAAAAAGCTAACGACTCAGGGTGTTTATGCAGCGTCTTTTAACAGTTAACCAACTCCGTAATTGAACTGCAAGTGATGTAATGAAATAGTACACACAACTCACTCACACATCATCAGATTATTTTACTCCTCTCCTGCACTGTAGCAGATTCAGACTTTTGTATGAAACCAGATTCTATAGATCTGTAGAGTCATTATGCACACGTTCATATTAGTGCAATTTATCCATTTGTATGGTTAGAAGCTTTATAGGTAGTTTTATTATTAATGTTTAGCTTATTTTCTTTGGCCGTTTCTCAGATTCAGACTTCTTTGCATTATTGATGATCACAGCATGCTGCTTTTAACAGGCCTTTGCTGTATTTAGATCAGGTCCCTCTGTTGGAAACCGACCAAAACAGAGAAACCCTATTTTAAAGATGTTAACCAAAACGTCCATGTCAGCTGGATAAATGGTCATTTAGTTTAGTAGCAACGCCGGCTGTTCTTTGGCCCAATTTAGAAAGCAGAAGTTATAGTTTAACTATCCTGGGTCTGAGAAAGCAAACTTTGAATCATTTTGTGCTCTCTCGCCACAAAACAAAAAGACTAACATAAAGAACAATAGCTTTACACACAAAGAACTTTCCCTACCTCATTGCTTGCTGGCTTCTTTATTTCCTTATGGGCTTGTTACCGCCTATCAAAATTAGGAAGTCTCATATTAAAATTATTAATTAGCATTGTTTATGCACAGGTTTTGGACTTGTCATTTAAAGGTGGCTTCAAGAAAAAAAAAGCCAATAATAGCTGATTTTGCTCATGAAACATTTAGGGTTTTTTTGTTTTTGTTTTTTTTAAACTTACCCATTAAGTTTAAAAGATTATTTTTCTCTAAATCAACCTAATAACTACCACCACTGAACTAAGAAACATTGTTTTGTTTTTTTAAAATAAGGTAAAAGTTCCTTTTCATGGACTCCAGAGCTGCCTCATCTCTCCTCGCCCCGGGGCAGGCTATCATCTTCAGTGACACCAGAGGGAGGACAGACCCTACCGCAAACCCCCCACCCCCCCCACTCGAACCTCTGCTAGGTCAGATGTAAGGGATGAGAGGAGGCTCTACCACCAGCGCGGTCTCTCAGGTCCAGCTGGTTCTTTGATCACCGGCTGCTGACCTCCGAGAGAACAAGGCAACCGGGCCGATGGGAGGGCCACCGAACACACTGCTGAGTCTGTAACCCCTCCTCGCAGCCCTTGTTCGCTCCAAAAAATGAAAAAAAAAGGGTTAATTGTATTTAACAATATGCTCTCATACTCCCCCCCCTTTATCACCACCAACCTCCCCTCCTGATTAGAATTAGAATCACATCTGGCGCCATGTTCTGTCCCTCATTACTGCTGAATCTCATTACCAGCCGTTCCCGCGGGAGGGTTGCGCCGGGTTTTTAAGCACACTTTTTGCTTTCTTCCTGCCTCTTGCTCATTTCGTCTGCCTCGCTGCTTCTTCTCTTCTGCGTTTACATTAGCGGAAGTCCTCATCTGAGAGAATGACTGAGCACCGCCGCATTCCTCCTCCTTTTTTGCCAGAGCCTGGAAATTGTTTTACAGTGCCAATTAAAGTAGGTATGTTGAGTTAGTTTTTTTTTTTTTCTCCACAAGATGTATTATTCAGACTGTATTATTTGTTGCGCTCTAAAAAAAGAGAAGAAGAAAAAAACCTTCTAAAATAGGACTCACAGAGTAAGTAACTTGCTTGGCGTTGTGAACTACACCAAAGGTTTGGAAATATAGTCTACATGAAGAAAATGAGGGAGCGTACTTATGGTGCCCTAAAGTCCAACTTAATAATAAAGGCTTTCACATATAACCAAATTTCAACTTTTGTTTCAGAGCAAACAGTATCTCGCAGAGATTTCATTTTAGAAGGAAGGAAAATAAAGAAATCTGTAAAGTTTGACTAAGAGGCGTGACATTTAAAGCAACAGCAGGAGAAGCCGCTTTTCTGCTGAATTCGAGGGCTAAGAGTGAAATAAGAGCGCCAACAAATAATAAAAGCCTTTTACTTCAACTTTTAAGACAGAGTTAAAAAATAATAACATTAATAACTAAATATCCTGTACATTCAGTTAAGTTTGTTGTAGCAGCCACGTTGAATTCTGGGTCCAGAGGGTCACGTGGCACCACATGAGGCTTCTCCAAAAAACAACGTTCTAGATCATTGGTGAGTCACAGAGCACGCAGGGGGCCTGCAGGATCTTCTTGATCCATTCTGGATCTGAGGGGAAAGAGAACATGGAAATCATTCAAAAACTGAAGTGCTTTAATACAATAGAAATTTACAAGTTTACAAATTTAAGCAAGTTTATGTTCTTTGTCTTCCCTTAAGTTGATCCAAGATGAATATTTACAAACAGAACCTTAGGTGTATCTATTTTTTCAATAATATAGATTTTCAAAAAAGAAAAAAAATTAAGGTTTTAAAACTAATTCACAGTTTTTAAATCAGCCTTTGTGTGGACATCTGTGTGCGACAACTTTTATGACCGAGCCAGTCAATGTGGATCCCAAATGCTGCCTGTGGTCATCTCAGATATTTGTAACACCCATCCATGGACATGCCGACGTGTTTGGAGGATCTCTGGTATTACCTACACTTCTTATACGTCCTTTAGACTGGATATATGTCCAAGCGTGAGACGCTTTGACAAGGCTCGGACGCAGATGTTCACGTTACATTACAACCTTCTCCGCTTACTGAAACTGACTAAAATTTGAAACCGAGTTTCCTCTCTCAACTTGATATTTAATGTTAAAATTAGATGTAACATCCCAACTAAAATATAAATACAAATAATCATTTCTGCAACAGCCCCTTTGAGAATTAGAAAGTTTCCAGAATCTCAGAATGCTCAGAATCCAACAAGTGAGACGGGGATCTGAGCTTGCAGAGCGGGCTGAAGCCTGACATTGAGGGAGACAGGAGTAGATGGCTGATGGAGAGTGTGGCTGTGAAATGGAGGAGGAGGTATATGGAAAGTGGCGCTTACCCTCAGGCTCTGGCAGTCTCGCAATGCTATCCAGCAGGAGGCACCGTCTGAACGTCAGAGTCTGGCAGGCCTGGTATGACAACACACACCTGGAGCAGACCACGACAAACACATAAGAAAGCTGGATGGCGGGGACGGGGACAGGAACACACACACACACACACAGACAGGCGAGCGCACGAGCCAAAAAAGTTGGGCGGAAACAGCACTGAGGAGCAACCGCCGGGCACGGCGAGGAGAGTCTGCGCCCGCCAGAGGCGCCAGGCGCGAGCTGGGGAGCAGAAACATTTGACGGATGATATTTATGAGCGAGAGAGTTGTGCAAATATCAAAAGGTGGGAGGCTTGATTACAGCTCAGGGAGGATAAATAAACTGTCAAGAGAAGATATCTGGCATTAAAATTCATTTCATGTCTCTGGCTGTCAGGCGCAGCTGTGGTGTCTGAAAGAACACAGCTCCTATGGATGGTGGGAGGGGGCCACAAAAGGAGGAAAGAAAAGAAAAAAGTAAACATTTAGGCTTTTTCAAAGTAGTTGGCGAGGGATGCGGCTACCTTGGCCATATGTGTCCGTTCTCACAGGTGGCCTGTTTGTGGTCCGTGAAGGGCAACACGGCCTGACAAAAGCTGCAGTGCTCCGGAAACGTCTGCTTGTTCATCTTATTCTTGATGTGGCCGATCAGGACCTGAGGGCAGTGACACATATGGCGCAGTTCCATTAATTCAAACCTGGGGCTGGCCCCACGAAAACGTTGCAGCTTTGGACCCGACTGAGCAGGGCCTGCAGCCGGCTTGCCGGACGCCGATTGGCCAGGGAGTCACATGACTAGAAAGCGACTCCCGTCAGGAAAAACCCGCCTATTTTAAAAACGGATCAACAACCAAGGTGTAATTTCACCATTTGTCTGTGACCATAAACGTTGTAACTGCCGAATTCACGAACCAACACCAAGGTTTAGTCGGTTTATCCTTGCCCTGACGTCTCTGATCGTTGTCTCGCGATTGTGTCGCGTATGAATGACGTCACGCTGGGGACCGCCATCTTTCTGCAATTTATTAAGGAAAAACCACAGACATTTATATGTCTATAGGGGAAAAAAAAGAAAAATCGTGTAGGGCTGAGTTAGCACTAAAAGCGCCAATAGAGACAGAGCGTGAATACAAAGTAAATCATCAAATATGTAAATACATTTTAAAAAGGTGAAAAATAATCACAATCCTCATCTACCTATAAAACGTTGAACAATAACACTAGTTGCTTATGACAACGCCAGTTTAGGACGATTAAAGTTCATTCACTGAAGTGAAGCAAGTAAAGTTTTTAAATCCCCATTAAATTGCAGGACTGTGTAGCTTTCCAAGTCATTCACTCTTGGCTCTGTGCATGTTTTGTCCAGGTGCAAAATTATGTATAAGAGTATGTTCACTTACACAGTACTGCAGTATAAGGTAAATATGATAGTGAGCTGCTTGTCGTACAGTCGTTTTCAAATGGGAGCAAGAGAAAAGAGAGATTAAGCAGAGGGAACACCCCAAAGTCATGCCCATAAAACTGATAAGATTACTCAGAACCAGAGACAAGATGAGCCCAAACTCTTTTACACAAGCACTGCTTTCTGAGTAAATTACCCTGTTTTTTCTAATAACATAATAATAGTTCAGAGGTTTAAAGCATTCTACAGACTTTCCTGTGTTATATTCACGGGTGAAAATCAGCAGATCCAATGAATTAAGTCATCCTGAGAAAATTATTTTATAAGAGTTTTTCAAAGTCCTATCCACTATACTTGAGCTGACCAATGGCAAGGCAAAGGGAATGAATTTGTATAGCACAATTCAAGTACAAGATAATTTAAAGTGTTTTAAATAAAAGATTAAAGAAGAAATTTTCATTAAAAAGTTAGTTTAAAAGCATAAATTAAGAATGAACAAATTAAAACAAATAGAAAAATAATTAAATCAATAGATTATAAGTGAAGAGTGCAGGTAAAATACCCTAAGTTGTTATATGCACGGCTAAATGCGGCCTGGAACATTGTCAGAGTTGAGGCCTGTGTCACATCTTCAGGAAAAAGGTTCCAGATTTGAGTCTGAGTTGGTTCATCTGGCTCTAACATGCCAGAGATGCATTTTGGCATTATACCATGAAGAAACTTGTACACAGGTAGAGCTATTTTAAAGTCTGTTCTCTGAGCAACAGGAAGCCAGTGATGACTGGTTCCCTGGTTATAGTCGGAAATCGAGCAGCAGCATTCTGGATATTCTGCAGTTGTCTTACAGCTGGTTTAGGAAGCCCAGAGAGCAGGCTGTTACAAAAACATCATGTTTGTTTGACTCACGTGTGCCTTTCAAGCTTTGAGAAAAATGGAAGTCTTGCAGTTTATTTTCATTTTGAAAATCTCACCAAAGTAGTTTACGTTCAGTGCCACGGAAAAGGTCCCTGCAGTGGGTCCAAAGATTAAGTTAGAACTACACTAAGATTTACTAAAGAGAGACTTCTACTGCAGACATATGCAATTTCTCTAAACGTTACTGTTACCACCAGGCTCCTGCTGACGTACAGGAGGCCGATGTGCACTTTGGAAAACTTTTGCCATACTGGGTTTGTGCTCATACCAGCACAGACAGAGCAAACCCTTCTCAGACTATCACACGCACCAAATAGAGGGACAAAGTACCAATTTAGCCACTGGAAAGTTAATCCCCCTGAGAAAAAAAAAACAATCTCATTTACAAATCCTCCATTACACACTGGATCGGATTGTAGGCCACTCCATTCCCCTTTGTCGGTTTAATTTCTTAGAAGATAATGCCTTCTCATGTATGTCCCGTGTAAATGTGCATTTACTTGCCGCTGGACTGTGGTCTAATTTTTGGAGTTTTTGTTAGGTTGGCAAAAATCAAAACACATAAAAAGAACAGGGCATTGTTATATCTGATTAGGTGAAGTGCAATAAGTGGAGTCGGCGTATTACCTCGGACGCTCTGTCGTTAGCATCTCTGGAGAGATAATCCATCAGGCCACAGGTGGGTATGCTGGTGTTCTGTGTAATCCATGTGTTGAGGTACACCACCCCCAAAACCCTCTTCATATTTTCCCTTATGAGGTGGATTTCCATAGTGGTCATCAATTCTTGCAGCTCGGCAATGCGCTCCTCATGATTCTCCTCCACCTCCGGTTTGACTAAACTGGACCCGCCGTCCTCCTCAACAGCTTCCTCGTCCCCCCCCACCCTGCTCCTCCTCCCTTTCCAGCCCCCTGGTCTCCACAGGTGGCGGTTTCCAGCTGTGACCGGCGCGTGCCTGCAGGGATTTCTGAAGTACGTGCACCAAGAACAGCTTCAAGCGGCAAAAGTACAGCGAATCCCCTTCCTGCGTTTTCCGGTCCAGCTCCTCCCGCAGCGGCACGGGGAAGGCCCTGTTTTTCAGAACGTGCCATCGGACCAGGTCCAGTAGGTCGGCCGTCTTGTACAGGTTCTGCGTCGTGGAGCGGAGCAGGAGCTCGGAGGCAGTTTCCGGCGCCTTCAGCGCCACAAAGTGAACCTGGTACGTCCTGGTCATGGGGTGAAAGCTGTCAATCATACCCTGAGTGCTGACAATGGAAACGTATGCGGCGTTGGGGCTCACTGCGATCCCGTGTATCCTTCTCCCCGCGAGCACCTCGGGCTGCAACAAGTCCTCCTGCTTGAAAACCAGAGACGCCTCCGCGAAGGTCGGCGTCAGCTTCTTGATCCAGCCGTCCGTGGAACACGTGTACACGGCGACATCGTTCTGCCCGAACGCCAGCGAGACCACGGGGAGCGAGTGGAGTCCCGCTATGTGCGAGTTGTGCACGTTCAGCCCAGCCGGCGAGATGACCAGCAAACACCAGAAGACGTAGCAGCCGCGCGAGGCCACGATGAGGCTGCAGCTGCATTTGTGGACGGGGTGGAAAAGGGGGATGCACCGGATGTTTTCCACGGGGATTTCGTCCGACTCCTTCCACAGGACGACCGGGTGTCGGAGGGTGAAATAGCCCTTCACCCCAGACAGACTGACCGGCATGATCTTGACCGGTCCCACCGCGCTGCCGACGATCAGGCCGCTCATGCGGCGGCCTGCGCTCTCGTACTCCCACCACGCCAAGTCGCTGGGCCGGTCCACGCCCGATTCGATGAGGTCGAAGAAGGCCGCGTCTTCCCCGTCTGCGAAAGGCAAGGGAAACTTCCACAGGACGAGATCCCCGTTTTCCATCAGGACCGCGAGGAGGACCATCTCCGCGTCCACGCACGAGTTGTCCGGCTGGACCTGTTTGGTCGCGTAAAGGCTGGACCACTCCATTCTCAGAGGCGTCTGCATGCGGAAACGCCGCTGAAACTCGTCGAAGTCCTGCAGGTTCCCCTCTGGGGGTCGGTCTTTTTTGGCGTAGCCCCGCTCCTTTAGCAGCTCGCTGTATTTTTTGGTAAGATCCACCAACATGCTCCACTCGTGTCGCTTTTGGCTGTGATGAACCGTAAGTCTGTTTTCGAGTGTCAGGGAGGCGAGCAGACAGCGTCCGCTGGCATCACAACCCAGTGGCGACCAGCTGGCGTACTTTATTCCTTTGTGGACACCTACAGAGGGGTTTATCACCCTATCGGCCAGAAATTCTTGCCTCACTGTGGGGTCAGGGTGCACTGTGAACTTCTCCATAGCTTTTGCTAGCTCTGCTGATGGCCCCACCTATAAAGTAAAAAGAGACCTTTTTAAAAGCTAAAAACAAGGACTTGAAGACATGTCAACAACCCTGACTCACAGGCCTCGGTATTTCTCAAGTTGCATCATATTTTGCCCCCTCCAATCTGTTAGCGGTGTTAAAAGTGCCGCCGAAAGATGGCAAATGCTGCATTTTTCACCGTCCGCAGTAGAGATCTAGGTCAGTGCTACATGTTGTTGTTTTCCATGCCACACCTCCCAAAAAACACCTACAACTGTGCCTTTTTCACCTCCCCTTAGATAAATCTGGTCCATTTTGACAAAATGTTGAATTTGTTAGTCTGTCTTACAACATTACAAAAAAGCAAACCAGACCACAGGAGTTTACTCCTAAAAAAAAACAACAACTAATAAACACCATCACATTCCAACAGAGCCCCTTAACTAAGTTCTAACATATGAACCACAACTACGTCACAATCCCCGGTACTGGCACCTAAATCTTAAAACAGACATGTAAACACTGGCTGTTTAACAAGGATATTTTTAAGCAATGAAAACAAAGGCATAAATATCTATTTATATACAGTCACATTCATTATTTCGAGCCAGGGTTTATCATTCAAGCATTTCAAGTCGTATTGGTCGGTGATTCCTTTTAAAAACAACAACAAATACATATGCAATGACTCCTGATTGTAATTTCTGAGACATAAACACGGTGCATGCAAGGTACCATTCAAACAACCACTATTCAAATTGTTTAAATCTAACAACAGCATAAAATGGAAGCAGAAGTTTCTGCTTTAAAGGACATGGTTTGATAGATTAGGATTTATTCCACCTGTTGGACGCTGCAGCCTGAAATAAAGGGTTGGTAGAACAGGGATAAAAACACAGGTTTGTTGACACTCTTTGGCTTAAATCACTACTTGGTGACTCCAGAGACTAATGGAAGAAACAAAAAGCTTCTGAACACTTAATGGAAGCTGTCAGGTCTGTTCTAAACACGGTTAAGAGTTAAATAAGTGGGATAAGAGGTCAGTAAAATAACTATTCTATACTTGTTCAGCTTTTATCTGCAACAGCTACCTCTGCTTAGTCTCCTGTTAGCCGGGAGTTTCAGGAAACAAGCTGCCCGTCTTTATTTACCCGCAGTCTGGAAGTTTCTGTCGGGACGGGGATGGAGGTCCTGTGCAGCGTCAGGTCCTGTTTGTTGCTGTGGACGTCGCACACCAGCTCCATCAGCGTCAGGGAGTTGGCGGTGCACACGGACAGGCGGTGGTCCTGCGACCAGGACAGCGGATGCAGCCCGCTGACCGGGGACGAGAGGGGCACGACCGGCTCGCGCCAAACCGGGACGGCCCCGGTGGTGCAGAGCACCTCGTCCTCGAGTTCCGGCTCGGTCTTTATGACTACATCTCTGAGCACCGACCGTGCCGCTTCGCCCATACTGGCAGCAGCCATATTTCGCGTGAAGGGGAAGTGACGTCAGAGAGCGCGCGGAAAAAAGGGCGGAACCTTCTCCGCGGAGTAAAGTAGTCCACGCGCCAAGCGGAAATAAGACAGCAATAGAAGGTTTAGTTTAGCATTTCGAGTTTTGTTTGTTGTTTTTGTTGCTATTTTTTCAATCATTGGTAAGATTAGACTTTTCTATCAGAGATTTTTGTGAATAGACCATAAAAAGCTGTTCCTTTGAAACAGAAGGGAAAATGCTGATCTGCTTAAAGAATGGGCCAGAAGATAATGAAGAAACGGGATAAATAAAATAAAAAAGGCTGAAAAGTATATGTTAGAATATAGGTTGTGGTCATTTTAAGGTGGAAAGACAATATTTGAAAGATTGGACCTTTTTGAAAATGTTGAAGATATAGAATGGACCATTTTCGGTATATTACTCATTCAGATACAAGCAGATGATAGGATCAGTACATTTATAAACAACTGTCAGACACATTTGAGACTAACAGGATGCTGAAGGCCTATAAGAACCCTTAACTTTCTCACTCAAACCAAATATCAAAATTATCCTGCAAGGTCACTGAAAAGATGAAGGATTGATGATAAATGTATTAAAAGTACCTGTTTCTGATTTGTCTACATTGAGCGAAATAAGAAAAGAAAAACAACATCCCCTAATGATGTTTCTAACTGACGTTAATAACTGGTGCTTTACCGAGATCAGATTTAAAATGACAGGCCTGCCCAGTCTGTTTGGCACACCTGACTTTACAATTTAGAGTTCTATTCATAAGTTAAGTTGAAATTCACTTTGTCACTTGGAAAAACGGTTTTGTAATCAACCGGCCCTCATCTCAGTGTTTTAAATATATTATTAGGGGGGGGAAAAAATGACCTGACAACCTGAATAGACTGAATGACTGGGTTCTGACAGGCAAAAGATTTCTTGCCTTTTCCGAGCTGACAGCGCAGGTTTTATTGTTCTCAAAATTTATGTTTCCAGAGGCCTGAATCCTAATATCTACAGATGGGTTGTCCACATAGTTCTGACCTTATCCACTCAGGATCCCTGGGATGTGCTTCAGAAAACAGTTTGACTGCCATTATCAATACAAGATGTAGGCTAAATGTTAATTGTTTTGGCACAAATTTATAGAAACGATGCTTAAGCAAATATGGGCCGGTCTAAAATTGATCCACAATCTGTTTGTGACTTTTTCCTTTGTTGTCTTGTTTTATTTTTCTTCTTTTTTTTTGGCCCAGGAATGTTTTTCATGAAAATATTTACTGCATTTGTGTGTAAAAAAATAAGATTTAGCAATGTTCTGAAGCTTCTGGGTAAAAACTCAGAATTGATTTGCAGTTCCCACCAGAGTATAAATGCTCCTAACAATATTTATTCAACTACTACCGAGCCGCAAAACTCTTTGTCAGATACACAAAGACCTGCTAAAGAGCGTTCCTTCCCAAAATATCATCGTGAGGTTGTAAAGGAAAAAATGTTCCTGGGAATTGTGTCTTCACCCTGACCCAGCAATATAAAATTAATGATCTCTGTGCTCTAGAACCTCCTCATTTACACTGTTAGCACTAAGTCAGATTATAAACGGTAAGACTAAAATTTGAGTGATGCTCCCCTGTTTTTAATTATATTCTCGAAGCAGAGTCTTATGTTCTCGAAAAGTGGTGAGAATGGGAAAAAGTGTTACGCTGTCTACATAAGATAATGGGAAACATTGTAATGTGAGCCAGCTACATACCAGGAACCAGTCATTGCGTTTTTTTACTCAGATGTTCTAACTCCATATTTCATATTCACAGTCACAAACATGGTGGAATTTGTTTACTTTTCTTCATAAAACAGGAGAAAATATCTCGGAAATAGTGTTGAGTTTGTTGCACTAATCTGTCCTATGTATTAAAGGGCTTGCTCTCCTGCTTTGGGCCGTGCGTCGGAAGTTGCACATCGTTATTCTAATTAGATTTGATTAGCTAAAACTTTAATGATCTCCATTGGGAAATTATGTCATCAGTCTGACACATCCATTCAGAAAAGAATAGCTAGCCGTACTGTCACTCTTCAAAGACATATTCGCCACTCTGAAAGAAAAAAAACACAAGAGCCTGATCACTGACAGGCGGAACATTAGTCATGTTATTAAATGAAATGACTAATGTCCGAGTGTGACCAGCTGTCACCAGCAGACATCATTAATTGACATTAATTAATAACAATGGAGCTGTCCTATTAGCTGCTGATGGCTCAGAGTTATATCAGCAGGCATTGTGTGAGTAGTCACCGGACCCTTGTGGACCGGTCAAGGGTCAAACTGCTTCAGTTGGATGCAGTGCTGGAGAGTCCCAGGCAGACGGTGATTTGTTACAGCTATCAGATGAAAGCTCCCCTCACAGTAGCTGCCTGACTCTCAGCAAGATGACAGCGGGATTTCAACAGGCAGAGTTATTTGTCACAAAACAAATTGTTACAAATCTGCGAGACAAATACAGAATAATGCGCCCACCACGTTTTAATCTCTCATTTTCTCTCTTTTGTTTCGATAATCGGAATGAATAAATGAAGGGGGACCATGATGTGTTTCATTCTTAATGAAGCGTGTAGTGGATTAATATTTTACACACCTGCTGTGTGTCTTTGGTGGATTTTGACTTGGGACTCAATCCCAGCTCGGTAAGTATGAATGTTGGATTAAACATTCATCAAATGCTGTCACAAAACTTTACCCTCTCCTGTCAGCCCGCACACACAGATGGAAACACTCCTCAATGGAGGCCAAAGAAGCCCAGCACTGATTTGGACCTCGGCTCTCATTGTGTGATAGTGGTATTATTTAGGCCACACCGGAGTCATGTCAGAAGGTGGATAGGTTATGTACTGTGGGTTTATGGATATGGACGGGGTCAGCTCAGGTCAATCCTCTGCATCTCTAAAATCCACCTGCTGTCTTGTTATTGCCTGCAGGTTCCCTCCTCAGCCTTTCAACCCTCAGCGGACCACATCCTCCGCTGTTTACTGGCTCAGAGTGTCTGTGGAGCCGCTTACGCGAATCTTGCCAGAAAGCCCGCAGGGACATTTTGATGCATGGTTCATCTTACATGTTTTAATCATTCAGTCTTCCAGACACCTCCCAGGAGGTGACTGCTGCAGCACATTACGCCGTACACACAATTAGTGATATAATCATGATGATGATAATGAAATGTATTTAGAGCATATCAGCGCGGTGCGTTCTGTTTGCAGAGACGTTAGCAGAAGTGCAGCCTCGGAAAGAGCTCCACTGCTCGGACTCCCGGTGTTTACCCTCCGGAGACTGGTATTGGTTGGAAGGTCGACACGTCAGAGATTAGCAGTCGTAGCAGTCAACCCGGCGCTCCTTCTGCACTGTCAGCTACAGAAGCCTCACCTGACAGGTGCTGCTCTCAATCAGTGCAACTCCGCTGCCCCCAGAGCTGTCCTCAGAGTTGTAGCGGATGAGGAAATCTCCTTTTCCCCCCCTCATGCATTCTGACAGCCTTTAGCAGATAACGCTCTAAGATGTGGTGGTCCTCATATGTCAGAAAGGCAAGAGTAAATCCCCCCTCTCAATAAAACCATTGATATCGCATCAGTAACATCAGTGAGAAACACAGAGGTGGCCTTTTACTTAGCTCCCCTCAGGGATGTTCAATCTTGTGTAAAAGGTCAAGGTGATAGGATGCCACGATCAGAGGGAGTGTTTCAGTGCAGAAATAAGGATACATGCTGTGAACTGTTTTTACAGACTGCAGCCCGGAACAAAACCAGTGATCATTGGTCAAACATAACACTAAAGGGCTAAGCATGTCTTTGTTTTTAATAAAAATACATTTTAGCTTCAAGAAATGCCCTGTTTGATTGTGACTTATTTTGACAGCACATTATGCCCATGTAGCTATTATTCAGGGAAAATAATTTCTTCCAAACTATAAATGTAAGAGTCTGTTTTACTTAGTGGCATGAATATTAATTAAACAAGAGTTTAAGTTTTAGAAAGATAGTTTTATGCTTTTGGAGATCCAAAATTTTAAAAACTGTCAGTTGTGAACAGAAACACTTACTTCTAACACAATCATTTGTTTCTTCTTGCCAGAAGTCCCTAAAGTAGCTGCTTCAGACAGAGATTACTGTGAAAAAATTCAATATATCTTCTTTGCTCTGTGGAGATTGTTAACTTCAGTATAGCAAAACTACGACTACCATCAAAGTAAGTGGGAAAAAATTATAGGTCTGGTGAACTGACCCTCCATTTTTAATCGTGCGTGTAACTGCTCCAGGCCTATATTAATAGTTAAACTGAGCTGTTTCAAGTTAACAGTTTTAGGTCACATTCTGCTGTGGGTTAGCTGTTGCATAAAGCCATGCATTCTTACACTAACCCTAATTATAAGACGGAAGCTATTTTTTCACAAAGTGTTGGTGGATCCAAAGCAGGGCCGAATAAAATAGGGAACATAAGTGGCTTCAAAGTGATAGTTATTATTAAGAAATCTTTAACAAAAAACAAAGCAGAGCCAGAAATCTAAACTAAAACTAGATAAAGACTAAAATAAAGACCGAAGAACCACTGAGAAACCTTATTGACGAAAAACGGGAGAAAGGATGAGGACGAAGGGATTAAGGGAATGAGGATCATACATAAAACAAGAATACAAAAACATACAGGCAGTTGACTCAGGGAAATCTCAAATGTGAACTATAACACAGGATGTGAATGAATGAAGAACGTGAAGATTAGAATCAAAGCAAGAAAAAAGACAACAGAACACGTAAGGATAACAACAACTAGAATAAAGATACAAAAGAGAGAAACTCAGAAAGCTAACTAAAACAATCAAAGAACATATGAACAAAAACTAGGATACATAAGATAACCCGAATGACACTGGAAGTAAAACAGACTGAGAACAAAGAAGCTCAAAACAGAATACTAAAACAAACAAAAGCACAGGAAAATCTCAAACATGTAACCAAAGCCAAAAACAAAGTCTAAAACTCAACAAAACCCCAACTCCTGACTCAATT